GTGGCACAGGGCAGGCAGGGGTTGGGGTGGGCAGGAGAGGTTGGGCACAGGGTCAGCACTGCCAGCACAAGGTTGTTTCCCTGTGGGATGGCTCTCATGGGGTGACCCTGGAAGAGGAATGAGGTGGCCACGGGCCACCCTGCTCTTCTGCCCAAGCCCAGTGTTCCTCTCCCCTGAGCAGCCCATCTGCTTTAGGGGACTCATGTCTTCTAGGGGACACAACCCAAAAGTTCCAGGCCGCCTTGGGCCCTTCCTTAGGGATGTAGGTGGCCACATGAGCTATTCTCAGTGCCTCTGGTATGGGGGGACCTTGTCCTCAGTGCTGCCAGACCAGTCCTGGTTGAAAGGAAGGAAAGAGATGAGAACCAATAGCCACCATGGGGCATGGAGCGGGATTCATCTTCCAGTGCCTGGATGTGACCAAGGGTAGGCTGAGCCACCTCCAGGGGCTAAGCCCGGGTGGGCTCCCACGGTCTTTCCCCAGGGACCTTGGACACCAGCAATGACAGTCCCAGCTCAGCAATGCAACTGACCATCCAGGGCCCTGCTCCAGTGTGCACTCGCTCTCTGGGGACACAGCCAGGTCCTTTCCCCCATCCTGGCCCCAAGGGTATGAATAGGCTGCCCCTTACCTGAACATGTCACACCAGCATCCTCAATATGACGACAGTAGTGTCTTCCCCATCCTCTGTGTGTACAGTCAGACAGGGCAGACTCGGTGCCACGACAGTGAACATCATCCATCCAAATGGGGCCAGATCCTGCCCCAAAGTGTGCTTGGACATGAGCTTTGACAGGAGACCCACAGCCCAGCTGCTTACAGACCACTGCAGCATCGGCCATGCCCCAGGAGTCATCACACACGGTCCCCCACTGGCCCTGGTGTTTCCCCTCCACTCTCCCAGCCCGGCGCCCCCCCCCGTCCTCCAGCCTCACCTCTGCAGCCCCTTCAAACACAAACATGGGACCGGTCAGGAGATTCCCGAGCCCCAGACTGCAGGTCTGGGACTGCCCCCTGCCTGGACCGAGTCACAGGCACCAGCGTGGGAGCCCTCTCCCCTTTGAGCTGTCCCCAGGGACGTATGGGTGTCCCTTCCCTCCCCACAGTCCATACAGGCTAGGGGTGCCCCACTCCAGCCCTGCTGGGTCACAGACCTTGGAACCTCCTCCCACTCCAACACCCCCCTGCACATACTCATCCACCCATTGTGCCCCCATCTCTGCCCAGGGCACCCGCTCCCCCTGAGCCCAGCACCCCCTGAACAGTCCCGTGCACCCCACGCTCCCAGCATCCCCAGCCGACCACCTGCTCTGCCACCACCCAAACTCACACCGTCCCCAGGGCTTTCAGTGTCCTCAGGGAGCACTGAGATGATCCCAAGGTTCCCCTCACCCCCAGTGCCAGCCCAGTCCCTGTGGTTGGCTGCGGCCCTGAGGAAGGAAACTTCTCTGTAAGCTGTGAGGGCAGACAGCATGGTCACCCTCTCTCTGTGGGGTAGCAACTGCCTTCCCGGGGTGGGGGCTCCCCTGGACCCTGGGGCAGTGAGCAGCACACGAACCCTCTGGGGCACCCTAGAGATTGGCTGTGGTCTGGGGATTGCTGAGTGCTGCCATCACCAGCTGAGACGCTGCCAGCCCCAGGAGTACAGCACTGGGGAACAAGGGGTCCCCAAAGGGTACCCCAGGGTGGGGTGTTCATATATACAGCCAGACATGGGCTGCCATAAACACAGAGAGGCACGGGGAAAGGCAGAAGGTCTATGGACTTGGGCACCTTCTGACCCTCATCTCAGTGGATTCTACAAAGAAACCCCATTCCCAAAGGGTTCCTAATGATCCCATTGGTACCCGATAGCCCTGGGCTGTGGAAAAATGGAGCCAGCACTTACCTCTGCAGAGCTGCACCCAGAGGAGAAGCAACAGCACCTGAGGAGAGCAAAGTCCTTCTGTCCCCATCCTGAGCCAGCTGCCCTGACGGCACAGCCCTGCTGCACCCTGCTCCCTGTCACGGCTCCTGGGGGCTCACAGGGATGATGACAACTGGAGGGTAATATATCTCTGCAGATGCTGACACAGCTGCAGAACGAGCCAATCGAAGCAGCAGCAGCACCTCTTTAGACGT